CTCTCTCTCTCTCTCTCTCTCTCTCTCTCTCTCTCTCTCTCTCTCTCTCTCTAAGCGCGATCATTAATCGACTCGGCCGACCCACTTCCCGCAATTGCCATTTGAAAGCTGCGATCCGCTACGACGAGCGTTTTGGATTTTAATCGGCGCGTTTGCGTCGAATCGCGTTTTTCAAGCGGGTTCATTAATCTCGGAAAAGTGGGATTTTTCACGCTGGCCGGGCTCGTTGCCTCGCGCGCCGAGTTATTCCACATTAAATTTCCGATGATCCGATTAAAAAATATGCTCTTCAAGCACACACCCGCACACAGGAGACGCTTAATTTATAGATGTTCTGCACATTTAATTGCGCGCGCGAGAGGCGTCGCCCGGCCCTACAGCAATATTTTATAAGGAACGCTTCACTCGCCGCCGGTTCATGCGCTAGTTTATCGCTCAAGTGTATATATTCTTCATAAATCCGCGCCGGATTCGTGCGCGGATTAGGGGAGACCTAGGAATAGATGCTCTATACTTTAGAATTTCAAAGTTGCAACTTCTCAGGCAGCTAATCGTTGTGACTGACTATATAAACATAGAGGCAACCTTATTCTATGTATTAATATCCGCCACGACCCTGTTAAATATATATTTTGGTCTATAATAACCAAAATTCGAATATGCAGTAACACAGTCACTTTGCGAGTTGCCTAGTAGCGCAGGATAAAAAAAGACCACGTATAAAATATATATCCTGATTAGTAATTCCAAAATCTCTATAACTCTCCTGCCAGCTTTTAATTATGGGCCAGCTCTACCTCGTCTATATGCTCTTTTTATCATTTTTATCATCTCTTTTAATCATTTTATGAAAGTAATAAATTGCATTTATTACCAGTAAAAAATACAAATGTATACAGTAAACAATATACACTTGCAAGACATTTTATTCTAACTAGTAACACATCGCTTGATCTTACTCAGTCATGCTGGACAGTATTAAAAATTTAAAGAAGTTCGAAAATTTACTTTGTCAGCTACCAAATAAATATCAAATAAATAATAAGTACTAAATCAATTTTTTTTATTTCTTAACTCTGTAATATTATTCTGATTTCAATGAAACTCAGGAAAAAGTATTTATGTTGTATATAAAAAGATATTTCGCGATTTTGCATCCATTATTTCTCTCAAGATAAAAAAAATACATAAGTAACATACCTCTGGGAGCATGTAGCCCCGATCTCTCTTATCTATTAAACTTCATCCGGCCGGATTACTCCTGATGTCGCGCGTTGTATTGCCGTTGCCCGATCGACGTTCGCTTTTACGACTGGTCTCTTGTCCAATTAAATTTTTATCGCCCGGAATGTGTTGCGATTGCGTTGGGTGTTGTCGTTGTTAATAATATTCGCGAGAGATGATAAAATGTCCAAACACGACCGTTGACATTTTAGGCCGCCACGTCTCGATGGGCCGAACGGACATAACGGTATCCTGCCGCCATGGATTCGAGAGGATCCCCGTTATCGCGAGTTGGACACTTGCAAGTGCAGATACAGCTTCAACTGTCCGTCACCCGGCTTGAAATTTGTACGTTTATGATCGAGCGCGCGCGAGGCGTGCCGAAACCATCGACAGCTTTAACGAATCCTCGTGATTTCAGGGCCGTTGCTCGAGGGACAAGAAGTACTGCTGCTTTAACAGTAGAAAATTCCCAGGACTGTTAGGAGGGCATCACTATCCATATTACCCCGTAACAGAAAATATTTCCTTATAATGATAGAAAGCTTTGCGCGGAGGTTTCATTAAAATTGATGTAAAAATGTCAAAGGCACGGAAAAATATAGAGACAGAAAAGAAGAGAACATTCTTTCAAATAGAATATTTTAAAATTCTTCAAAGAGAAATATTTTGAAAGAGAGAGAATAAAATTAGATATTCTGTTGCAATATATCAATATTTAATTAATGGTCTACTAATTGTCTTTACACCGAATCTATACAGGATATCTGACTCTATCATTTTGCAAACAACCATAATATTTCGATTTATTAATTTAAGAAGTCTGCAGAGTGTGACGGTACAAGTTCTGTTGCTACGAAATCACTTATGAGTGCAAATGTCACATCTATCGTGTCATAACCAGCGCATCAACTCACAAGTTGACATTGAAATAATAATAATAATGTGCAGCAAGGAACAAGTTATCGTGTTAATTGAAGCGACGTATAAAAAATAAAACGTGTTATACGCTATAATCGAAATTACCACAATAAACACTTACATAATAAAGTATTGATCGCTGATTGGTATATGCATGGAAGAGTACACGAAAAAATGTAGCCTTTACAGTCAATGAAATCATGTGTGTTACCAAGCAAGGCTCCATGCACGACTTCATAAATGTTAGCATATACAAAATCATTCACAAATCGAGCATCGTGTGACGAGCACTTAAATAATAACAATAAAACCTATGTGGTTATTTGCAAAATGATAGAGGAATTTTGTGTTCAATTTGGCCCAATTTACCTGCACACGAGCACTGTCGTGTCTTGTCTTAGACAGCTTATTAAACTTTTCTTTGAATTTCCGCTTTCGTGGATAAAATTGGTATCCCATATAGCACAAATATCCAAACTATATTCCAGAGACGTCACAGAGATATCACACATCTCTGGGATGTATTTTGGACATCTGTGTTGTATGGGATTTTTCGTTATTGTGTTTCTCGTATGTGCTTTCTACTAAGCAAACAATAATTCCCAGGGTGCGCCGCACAAGCACGGACCGACCGGTTTGGCGCCGAATTATTACGGCAATCGGGGACCGCACGGTAATCCATACGATGGACATCCGTCTTTCGGCGACTATTACTCAGGACCCTATGGCGGCGGTTATGGTCACCGTAATGAGTTCGAGTCGTCACGGCCATATGGCTACGATGCGGATCCTGACGATTATGAGATCTACGGGAGGTCGTTGGGCAAGAATCAAACGCAGGCGAGCGAAAAGCCGAGGACGAGCGAGGAGGACGAGAAGCAATGACTGTTTGAAACAGAATGAAAAGTCCCGTCTCGATCGAATCGTTTCTCGATCTTCCGCTCGAGCGATCGTTTCGGTCTCGGCGGAGATGCCAAAGATATGACAAGAGTATATATATATATATATATATATATATATATATATACACGTACAGGTGCGCATGTACGTTGAGCGATACACGATACACAATTAGATGAGACACGACCCGAACACGAACTGTAATCGCGTCAATAATTAATTCGTGCGGGGTAACACTCGTGCTTCGTCGTAAATGAGATTATTTATAAAAAAACGTGAATTTGTAAAATACGCGCATCGGGCTTTCTCGAGAAACAGATATGATCCTTCAACAGAGTCTCGCAAAAATAAATTGGCGGAAACAACGTTGGGACGTGTGCAGATGTGTAACACGTTTCTCTCAAGAATACTTCCCATTTGTCTATGGTTTCAATCGATTGCACTTTCTATATATTCACGCCGTTGCCGATTCATCGAACGCTCACAGGCTCTGAGATCATTTGTAGATGTAGAATAAAAAGAGTTGCTCTGGAACTTTTTTTACAGAGAAATTATAAGACATTTTTTAACTCTTTTCAGCTTGATATTTTTATTATAGTTTGAGAAAGTTATATGATTTTTTTATAATTAATGATTGTATATTAGTTGAATTACAGAGCACGACGCGACACGCTTGTGTCCTGCTAGCATGCATGATGCAGGTACTTGTAGTGATCCGAAACAAAAAAGCAAGAAAAACTCTTATTTTATATGAGTGTAGTTATCGTTTAAGCTACGATCATTGGACTAAATCAAAATATGACAAAATGTCGAGTTTGCAAAACATATTGTGATCCCGCAATTTGCTTTTCGAACTCGCCATGTTTTGTCAAATTTTTATGTAGTCCAATGATCCTGTCTAGTTCAAATAATAATAGCCATATTCATAAAAAATAAAAACCTTTCTGCTTTTTTGTTTCAGAAATAAAAATACCAATGTCTGGACATTAATAACACTGATACATAATTCTGGAACTTCTAATTATTTTAGTTTTTAAATACAAATATATATTCGATATAATATATACTTAATATGTGTACATATATTCTATATTGAAAGTTTAAATATTCGTAATTAAAAAAAAAGGCTCAAATAACACGAATGTCCAGAGTTAGGTACCAGTGTTATTATATATATACATATATATATATATAGTGTCCAAGTATTGGTACCTTTACTTTACAGGTGGCTACATGATACACATCAACAGGACACATGCGTGTTCCGCCATTACTCAACTAATATATGTGATCTTTAATTATGAAAAAAACTATATAATTTTCTTAAAACATGGTAAAAGTATTCTGAAAGGTATAATTTCTTTGTAAAAGAATTCCAAAGAAACTCCTTTAATTCATGCCTACAAACCGCCTGGAGACCTTAATTATCCCATTAAATAAATGTGAATTAAGTGAGAAACAAATAATTCTTTGCGAAGAAAACCGATTCTTCGCGTGGCATGCACCGTCTCATACTATAAATAAAATCTGTCACAAGTCTTCCCTTATTAGCATTTTCGTTCTCTACCTGTCACATTGACGATGCCTCCGGCATCGACTCACCGATCGTCGTGATGACGATGATAGAGTAGAACAAAGCACCGGCGAACGTCCACTGAATAGTATTCACCTCCTCGCTGCCGTCCCATCCCTCCTTCGTCATTTTCTTCAGGAGTTCCTCCTCGAACTTCTGCATTGCACATTATTCGCGAACAAATAGTGTGCTTTCAGATTAAATCATACTTAAAACGTGAAAGGGGCATTTTGAGTCATTCATTTAGCACACCATCACAAACGCATCACGTAAATTCAATCCGGAGGGGTTGTATTTTGCAGAGCAAAGGATCTATCTAAAAGACTCAAAGAAAGGGAGAGAGAAAGACAGAGCGACAGAGAAAGGGAGACTCGGAGAAAGGTGGAAATGAAAAGAAATCGTACCTTCAGCTGACTCAACGCCTGATCCGTCCAGTTTTCGCGAATCAACACGTCGAAATCCTTCGTGATTTCCCATAGTTTCTCCGAGACGTTACCTCGTATATCCTTGATGCTCAACTTCACCTGCGAAGAACGTAACGATGCACTTACTCGACGTCGCAACGCTCGACGCCAGTCAATAATTCATCGACACGAGCGCGGAATATTCGATGCGGGTGAAACTATTTGTCCATGCCCTTTTTGCTCTCGACGCCGAATTAATTTCTGTCCGGAGCAAATTCCGTGGTAGTTTGTGGAACCGCGAGTACAGATGGTATGCGTGTAGCGTACGAGAGTTATTAGTTTATCAGCCACGTGGCGGTAAATAACATACGGACAGATTGATTTATATTCTGTTCGGACACACGAAATGAGTTAAATGTACGCCCCAAAAAATATCATCTTGTTCTTAGCGCGATCCTCTTACATGTAGCCTCAAGAGGATTCTTCTGAAACCGAAAGGATAATACTCTAACACCTGAAAAAAGAACTCCAGCTGCAAAGTGCTGTTTCCTGTAATCCTATATTCTAAGCCAAATGTCCCATATTCAAACTCTCCTCGAAAGAGTCTCTCTCTTCTAATAAAGCGAACTACGAATATTAATCGAAAATTTACTAGATATAATATTGAAACGTTTTTTCTTCTGAATCAAGAAGAATATATTTACTTGAAGCAAAATATTCTTACTAGAAGAAATTTCTATGAAAAACAAGACCTGCGTTTCAAGTGAAAAACGAAGTTCCTCTAATTTTAAGAATATTGCGCTTAAAATATTTTCCTTTTGAGATCACATAAGGGAAATCGGGGCTAGATACCTTATATTTTAGAATTTCGAAGTTACACTTTTCAGGCAACTAATTTTTACGATTGAATGTATAAACATGATGAAGGCAACTTTCTTTTCTCATATTAATGCTCGTCATGACTCTGTTAACCGTATATTTTGTTTTGTAATAACCAAAATACGAACATGCAGCAACATAGCCATCTTGCCCTGGTACCGAGTTTAGTTGCCCAATAGCGCAGGATAAGAAAGCCACATATAAAATATGTATCCTAATTAGTAGTTCCAGAGTCTACACGAGAAGTCTCCACAGCTTTCCTGCTGGCCCTTAATTTAGCTCATCTGCCCGTATGATCGATTTCAATCATTTTATAATTGAAAATTGTATTTATTACCAAAAAACAATAAATTATATACTTGCAAGAAATTTCATTTTATCTAGTAATACGTCGCTTCATTTTATTTACGATGGAGAATATTAATAGAAAATTTCGAGAGGCTTAAAAATTCACTTTGCTACTACCAAATTAGTTTTTTCTATTTCTTAACTGTAATATTATCCCGATTTTAATGAAACATAGGGGAAAATATTTATATTCTAAAAGGATCATTTCGCGATTTTGTATCTATTATTCCTCTCAAGATAAATACTTAAAAAAAAGCACGTAAACAACATGCCTATGGAGCCATATAGCTCCGGGTTTTTATAGGGTCTCCCCTAAAGGATTTTGCCAAAGAGATAAGATTACATTTTTTATTTTTTTATAAATTAGTCAAAGACTAAGGGTAAATCGAGCCAGTCGCATTGGATCGTTTTACGATATTATTTTCAAAGTAAAAGGGATGACATAAGCTGAGTAGCACTACAATAAGTGCTACAACAGTTTGCTAACAATATTTCCACAAGTTTACATGGAAAGGTGAATCAATTAGTCCCCATTAAACCCGTGGGTTTGATTCGCTTTAGTCGTCTCGGCATCTCCTCCCTGTGAAGAAGTCGAGACGCCAGTCTATTCAGGTGGTTAGTAAGACGTTCCTTGTACATATTTTTTAATATGTAATCTTGTAAGATTATATATCTTTTTGAATATAAACATAAATTCACGATATACGTACGAATGTACGACTTGCTAAGTATTGCTGTGCTGTGCAAATCGCGAAATGCATTATTGCAATCTTTGTTCTTGAAAAAATAGTATAAAATGAAATTTAAACAGCTCGTTGTCGAGATGTCAGCCTTTAATGTTTATCGAGATAAAATCTCGAGGCAATTTAATAGCATTAAGAATAATTGAGTTAGAGGTGCGACGAAATCTCGCATCGTTCGTGATTTACCTGTTTCTCGTGCTTCGCCTCGAGTATTTCGAAGGCGTACGCGCCGATTACACAATAAGCAACCACCAAGGAGATCAGCGTCACGTGGGAGAATACGCATCTGCTGAATTTCCACAGTAGCCGGAGGAATCTGATGCATCTCGACGGTTTCTCCGCTTCCATCGGGTCGAACACCTCCGTACGCGTACGCGGCATTTTCTACTTTCCTCCTTCACAGATCGCGGCTGTCCTCTTATTACATTCCCTCATCTACATAGTGAGCGTGACACACCGCGTTTCAGCCTCGTCAATTTAGCTTCGATTGTTGATAATTGGATTCCCTACTCCGTAATTCCGTCTAATTAATTTGTTTTGACGTAGAATCGTTGAGCTCGATATTTTGATTGAAAATCTCTTTACGCGATAGACTTCGTGAAACGAAATTGCGGGGATTAATTGATTTATTTCGGGATTTGGGGAACGAAAGGATTTGTGGCTCCATGGAAATATGTGGACGTGAAAATCTATGAAATATGAAATTGATAAAAACCACTAAAAATATATGTATATACATATCCAAATAATTGTCTATACGACCGAGAGTGTTCCCAAAAACTGAGGATCTATAAAACGACAGTTTTTTCAAAACCACAAATGTATGGATTGGAATATTCGCAGGTAGAAATCGTATTGACTATCAACAGATCCAAATAAGTCAAATCTGCATTTACTTTATCAAAAGTAAAGAATCAACACGTAGCGAGTTATCGTCCATATTTGTGATTCTACAATAAATGAAAATTTGTTATCAAAGTAAAAACAAATTAAATAATTTTTGAACTATCGCTGAATTTTATCATGCAGGACGTCGTCATATCGATTAGCTATAACGTAAATTGAAAAAAGCTCTGCACGTGCCACGACTGTGTGATATCAGATTGTTATATTACAAACAATTAAATGAAAAATATATATACAGAGTGATTCAGGAATATTTGTATAAACTTCAGAGGTAAGTTCTCCATATAGTATTTCTCCTAAACAAGAAAAAAATGTCATATACACATATATCCGGAAATGCCTGTTTTATGAATTATAATCAGAAGATTACGTTCAATGTTGACAATAAGAGCAACCATGGTTTATGCATGATTGGGCTTCAGCACATTTTAGCCACATTGTTCGACACGTATTCATTGATATCTATCATGACTCGAAAATTTACTTTGCTATTACCAAATCAGTTTTTTTAATTTTTTTACTGTAATGTTATACCGATTTTAATGAAAAACTCAGGAAAAAATATTTATGTTCTAAATAAACCATTTTGCAATTTTGTACTCACTATTCTTCTCAAGATAAATACTAAAAAAAGCACATGTGCAATATAACACTGGGGCTGTATAGCCCGATTTCTCTTATATGACACATTTTTATTGTTAGGTACATAGAAGTCACACCCAAAGTTTGTACAAATATTTCTGAATCACTCTGTTTATATGTATTAATAATATATATATACAAAATATCATATATATTTCTTTCTTATTTAATTGTTTGTAATGCAACGTAATATGTACATATATATATATTTATTTGTTTATTTATTATTTTTATTTCATGCATTTTTGTAGTATTTTGCGTATCCTTAAAGATGAAACTTCGCGTTTATCGAATGCGTATAAAGGACACGCTATGTAAAGTCGCAAAGTCATCAACGAATGCAAAATATCAGAGTAACGTTACGATTACGACAATACCGAGTGCTCCCGCGTATTTCTAAATGAAACGATTTACAGATATCAATTGTGACAATATACGATTTCTCGTCGCCGCGTGACAGACTTGATGCTATCGCCAATCGAGCAGTCTGTTCTCGTATTCACTCGCCTCCGTTTTCGCGATCGTTTTCGATACGACTTAGTACGATACGTTTTTGCCGATGTTTATCCACTTTATCGTAAGTATTCAACGGTGTCGATCGACATTGGATTGGCACCAAGCTACACTTTGTGCCGTGCACGATAATGCATGTTATCATTGACACCCCTGCGCTCGCTTTATCGGCAAATTCATTATATCGGATCGCAACTACAAATTACTCCGCGAATTGGATACGGAAAGAACGGAATTGCACCTCGGGGATTTCCTTCGCGGGAACGTGGTGTTATTTATTGAAGAGCGACGGCTTCATCGATTTTCCACGGCGTCAACGTCTGACGACGTTTCGGCTTTTCAGTCGTGCCTAATGCGAATGTTATCTACGTCTCGGTGTTCTCATCAAGGACAAATTGACTCTCAAGAAATGAAACCGGTGAAAAACGCAGAAGTAAAAACATTTTTCGCGCCTGAAAGATCTCAAAGGGATGCCATACTTGAAAATTTTACCGATAAAATACTGATCCTTTTTCGCTTTACGTCGTATTGATTACATTGAATAACAAATATTTTTATACAAAGTACATGCAAAATTGAATTGGAGTGTAGCTCGATATGAGAAAACGATAAAAATTTTCAGAATTGACTTCTCTCAAGCTATCAGCATAAATATTTGAGTAATGCAAAAGTTCTATGGTTTGCAGATATTGAACATGTGTTTGCGCCAATGAAGAAAATTCCAAAGAACATTGCAGGTACACCTTTAAAACTAAATGTAGGAGCTTAAAGGGGATGCTGGAGTCGATGACAAACTGGAACAATGTCGATAACGCAGAGACGATCGTCACAATTACGATATCCTTTTCGTATTTTTTATACATGCAGAACATACGTAAATGTATTTTGCTTTGTTTTACGATATTCAGCGAATAACAAAGCAGCACACATTTACATAAGATCTGTATGTCCACGTAATAACCTTAACAATTACCAGGCCTAGTTACAAAAGGATTTCTCGACTAAGCGCGATGTTTTTGCATATCCTGAGTATTCTAATGTCGTTGTTTCCTTGGAATATTCAGCCATGATACACAAATACGCGGAAATATTGAGCGTAGTCAGGAAATTCTTGTATAACCTAGTAAATGTTAAGGCTATTATGCCGGCTAGTGTACAAGAAATACAAAAAGAGCAGAGAGCGCAACTGTGTTAGCGAACTGTGTTGACGATCTTCTCTAGGTTATCGACATTTCTCGAGTTCGTCGTCCAATTTGGCATCCCCTTAACATAATTATATCATAATAAATCCAGTCATAAATAACTTCCAATGAAACTGATATCGATCCTCCCCAAACATTCGCGGAAAAATCGATAAGCCGCCTGTTTACACAAGTTGGCAACGCGCAGGTTATTATTAACCGCGAATCTCGCGAATTTGCTTAACGATGAAATATTTCACGTACGAGGGTAGATTGCGAGAAGGGAGGAGAACACGAGAGAAAGACGAAAGTTACTCGAGATCCAGCGAGAGATTCAACATTCGACAACGCACAAACGATGACTGTATCGAGGCGGCGCGTGCAACTCGAAGCCAGACCGGGGCGCAGCCGACAGCCGCGGAAATTAATTCCGATCGAGATTCGCCTGGCGCTCGTCGGATTCTTCAGATTCCTCGACGATCCCTCAGAGATCTGACGGGCCTCTCAGAATTGCGCGAACATCGCGCTCACTCGCGAACAACCGCCCGCGACTTCCGGGTCTCGCCATAACGACGCTCGCAAACGAGCGTGATCCTCGCGTGATCCTCGACACGAAACTAAGGCAGAAACGTGGAACGCGGCTGTGAGTTACATCCGCGAGAGGCGGTTGTTCCAAATTTATCCCAGCGTCGAGATTTCGAGTTCGGAAGCGAGGAGGCCGCGAGGAGGAGGAAGAGATGAGAAAGAGAAGACGACGCGCCGCGTCGCGTCGTGTTCAAACCTCTGGCTGATACCTTCGCAATTATCGCTCTCGGAAATTAAGGAGTTTATTCACCAGATATGTATTTTTAGGGCGTATTTTCAATGGCGCATTCAGAAATTCAGTATTTATCGAACGAAATTACATTTTTATACATTTACTTCACTATCTAGATAAGAAATGTTAATTTGTAACTAATTTCATGATACCATTTACCTTTCATTCAATACTACGCTGCTTAAAGCATAAAACAGCAGTCTGGCCTATAACCGATCATTGCACAAAATACTATTCACTCAAAATGTGATCTTCTAATCATAACAAAAATTATATAGACACATTCGTAGGAGGAGGAATGACGAGGAATTTGCTGAAATAAATATGTGACAAAACATTGCGTATCGCATATGTTTTGTATTTAATTAATATAGATAACACACACACAGAAAAATTCAAGTATTTCATAAGTTTATATATCAGCAAATTTATTATGAGCTCATCATATTGAATTTTAGTGAAGTTAGCTTTTCAATCAAAAATATTAAATTAAAACAAAATTCAATTTACTACATAGAGTTGAACTAAATTTTTCTTCAATATAGTTTTACAATATTCTTGTAAAAGGAATAAGTTTTTCTTTCAAGTACATGATAATGAACTTTCCTAAAATTTGTGATAAGTATATTTGAAGACAATTATTAAAAAAATATTCTTTGTCGAAGGTAACTATTACTTAAAAGAAATTAAACTGAGTAATTGCTTTTCTCAGCAGTAGAACGATATTTTTCTCTGTACAGAGACAGAACCACTATCTGAACTATTTGCAAAATTTAGTAAGAAAGTCTCTCTGTGGCGTCCATTCAGATTAAGACAAGTCACACTTCTTATGAAAATTGACTGTGGTAGACAAGAAAGACTAACGATGAGAGACAAACAAATATGTAATCCTCACATCCACCTGAATTTGCTCGCAGATATTGCTGGAATGCTGCTACTGCTGCTGTAAATCCTACGTACCATAGACAATTTTCTAGCAGATGCAAAAACAGCGATAAATTTTCACTGTGACACTTAGAATTTTACTTGGATCAGCGAAACATTTTTTTATTGTCCTTTCTTCTATACGGCGTTTTCTAACGTGGAACATTTATAACGGTAAGTTTTTTTTTTATTTAGATGGTATTAATTTTTAGAAAGAGTTACTGTGGAATAATAGTCATTTATGCTGTTTCTACCGTGAAGTTATATTTAGATAAAATTGCGATATTCAGTATAAAATTTCTCACGAACGGTGCAGACAAATCGCGTGAAAATTTAACTACGAATATGTTCCACCGCAACAAATGTTATGCTAAATTTTTGTATAATTTTATGTATTTTGTTTGAAGTGAATGGGCTCCTTAAAGAGCCAGACTAATGTAACACTCTGGAAAAAGCGTATTTTGAGAATTATTTTGCGAAAATGGATATATCAACCGAATTTTTTGAAGCATTATATATTAATTAAGTAACTATTAAACTTTATATTGTCTTTATACTTTATATTTTTGTTATACTTTATATTTTTGTCTTTATACTTTATATTTTTGTTATACTTTATACTTTATATTTTTGTTATTTAAAAAAACCTATAAATAAATATACAGCATGTGGCTGAACTCACGACTGGAAAAAAATCGCTGCGGGGAAGACAACGCCTGTTCTAGTAACCTGAAACATCAAAGAACCTAAAAGTCTCTTAGATAATATGCTTGTAATTGGAGGATGAACCTAAAAAATTCAGAAAGACATTAAACTTAGCTTAACTTATATTAAACATTAAATTTACCTTTTTTAATAGTGCGAAATAACAAAAAGATGCGAAATTTGGATATTTAATTTTTAAACAGCTATTGTTTCTGCAATTTTCGTTCTTCAGCTTAAAATTTAGATTAATTCTCCAACTACAAGCATATTATTTAAGAAACTTCTAGGTCTTTTAATCTTTTTAATCTTCAGATCGCTAGAATAGGCGCTATCTTTCCCGTCGATTGCAGCGATATTTTTTTATAATCGTAAGTTCAGTCACATTCTGTATATTTATTTATAGATTTTTCTGAGTAACAAAAATAGTAATATAAAGAGTTTAATAATTACTTCATTAATATACAATGTTTCGAAACATTCGATTGATCTATTCTCGCAAAATTAATTTCCAAAAATATGTTTTTTTTTAAAACATTACATTGGTCCCTTAAGGGGATGCTAAAGCTGAAAACTTTACCGACAGAAAACTGACATTTTTCTTGAAAGTTTATGTCATATTGGTTACACATAATTACAAATGCTTTTACACAATGAAAGTATGTGCAAAAATAAATAGGAACATTGCTCGATATGTGACAAAAACAAACAAAAAATGTTTAATGTAAAATCTCAAGCTGTCAGTTAGCGTAATATTTGTTTAATCCAAAAATTCCGCAGCTTGTATATACTGAAAGTGTGGATACTCCAAACAGAAAAATTTTGAAGAACATTGCTCTACTTTCGCATCTGCATTTGGAAGCTTAAAAATATCAAAAAAGTTTGCAGAAAGATTTCTACACATATATAGTTAAGTTTTCCGTTGAATATAGTAAAACAAAGTAACACACATTCATGAAAGTTCTGTATATACAAGAAATACGAAAAGGATAGCGTGATTATGTTAGTGACGATCGTCTCTGCATTATCGATATTGTTCGAGTTCGTCATTGACTCCACTATCCCCTTAACGAGCGCGGGAGTACAGCATATGTACATACACAATGTGCCGGAATAGCTTCAACACTTTTCCACTAGCATCAGTCGAAAATCTCGACCACAATGCATCTACATATTCATGCATCATGACTGTCGACTATTCCGAAAAAGTTGCAACGTTACCTAGAAGCAACGGTGACATTGACAGCTCACCATACTATACAAGACAGGTTACTTTCCGAAAGCAAGAGAAATAAAAACGTTCCACAGTTCACATAAAAACGTTCTCGTGGAAGTTAAAAGTGATTAGAAATATTTTCCAAGATGAATCTCGATTAATCCTTTCAACCCCGAATTAATCCTATTCGCAAGAATAATTTTTCATTATTGTTCCTAGTAATGTAAAGGTATCTGATTTTTTTTTTTTCATAATTGTCGAATAAACCATTTTGAAGAAATCAAAATGTTGTTTCAGAGAAATAACCTTTTGATATGCTGTTTTTATTTCCAAATATATTTTGCATAATAATCATTTTCTACTTTTTATACATCGTAATAAAGCACGAGAATATTTTGCATAGTCCACTTTTATAATAAATAAATGCAATATTGCGATTTTTTATGGGACGGCATTGGAGTGGATAAATAACGAGTACCAACAATTTATTTGTTTTTATTACTACAATTAAGTAATAAGATTAAAATCCCGCCTAAAATCGTGAGAGACAGAGTTGCCAACAACGTTTGACAGTTTGACGACGAAAAGTATCAATTAGTTTGGTGTCTGGATCGATTTGAAGTACGTGTTGCCTGAAGACTTAAGCTCTTATATTGCACTTTCGACCTTATCTGCAATACGGATCGATTGTGTGGTCACCTTATCAGAATAGTCAAATTAATTTGCTGGAGAAAATCCAACACTGGTTTTTCCGTCGAGCAAGCTATTATACGAGTAAACCAATTTCAATATTCTGTCATAAATATCAATCTATTTTGACACATCTCCACCTGTTATCTTTAAAAAACAGAAGAGATCTTCTGTTACATAATCTTCTATTTTTTTACAGAATACAGAATACTAAATTAATTTATTTCGAGCTCAACTTTATTGTCGCTGATTGGATTTAATTTACCGGTTAGAAAGACGAGAATCTTTTCTCTTTTTTTAAATTGAGTTCCATAAAACTTCTTACAGGAAATATAGGCCGACTAACCGCATTTATATGCTTGGTAATCAATATTCAGTAAATTTTTTAAATGATTCTATCAAGAAATTAAAAAATGCTATAATTAAGTGCCTAAATTGATTTGTAATTTGTCTGATTATTTTTTTTCTTTATTTTCTTTAATGTATATTATTGTATTTTATACTGCGATAAGGGAACTGTCTTCCCGTTAATAAAGAATGAGTGAATGAATAAATAATTTTGAGCATTTTGGTTTAACCTAAATTTTGAGCTGTAGAAGGAAAATTGCAGGAACAATAGCGGTTTAAAAATTTAATATCCGAATTCCGCGTCTTTGCTGATTAATACTAAAAAAATGTTGAAGCTATTTCGGCGCAGTACGTACAAACTCCGGCGAAATAGCTCTAACATTTTTCGATTGATGTTAGTGGAAAAAAATGTTAAAGCTATCACGGCGGAGTGTGTACGTGCGCGTGGCGTTTCGGACGACGAGAGACACCCTCGTCTGCGAGTCGCTTGTGCATTGTCCCGCGGAAATTACGTCGGCTGTTGCGTTCGCGGGGATTATCGCACGGCGCGCTTCTGCATTCAATGTAAATTTGTATACAATGGGCTTTGCTCGATAGTAAATAACATGAGAGGATCGCTGCGAAAGGGGCTGCAATGTTACGTCATAATTATTTGTAAACTCCGACAACGTTTGCGCAAACGAGATTAACGGCGTCGTACCGGTGAGCTTACACAAGGGCGAGCCTGCGCCTCGCGCGGCGAAGAACAGCCTCGGAAGCGTTTCTCGATGTCCCAAATCGATTCATCTGCACTCTCAGTATGTTCTCCGCTGATCTCCGCGGAGACTTGTTCGGATTATATCGCGCGTTTAATCCTTCCGGCGAATTTTCGTCGAATTTCAGGTTCTCGCGAGACTCACCGACCGCACACGGAGGAACATTGCATTCGACAAA